AAGTAAAACCTTCAAAAACAATATTTTTCATATAGTATATTGAAAGTCATTGTTGGGGCTTGATTAAATAAACTCTCCGAGCTTATCAAATGTTCAAAAACCTAAAATTCGCTTAATGTATAGGTATAATAGCCAGTACTTATACTTAAAATAAAAGTTTAGAAACTTTTTAAAATAGTATTTGAAAAATGTTCATATACCTAGTTAGGTACCCATTAGGTATATGTTTTTATTAACACTGCCGGAGAATTCCAATTTTTTTTTTTAAATGCACCACAGTTGAATTGGATACCAATGGGTTAATAGTCTTTAATGTAACTTTACTTAAAATCTCCAAAAATCAGAATTCGAATAAACGCGTTATTATTAAAATATAAAATAGAGACGAGCATGCTTGGTGATCCACCCCTCTGGTTTGACATTTTATCATTTTTGTGCTAATAAGTTTGACTATAATGAAGAAAATGTCACGCACGTATTCAAATACTTGTACAATAAAATGACGTAGACGTAACATTCCACATAACATTGATGGGGATGTTTTTATCACCGAAACATTTCACTGCTGCAGATGAATTGTGGTAAAATACTGAAGATTTTGCTTTTGTTTCTCTCGTTGTGACACACATATTTAAGTATACTTATATGCGTCTGCAGCGTGTGCTCTTTGATAGATTAATTACTGTCTTGAGACGCAATATTATAATTTATAGTACTCTCAAAATGAGTTTCATAACGAGAAACGGAAGCACAGCTTTAGACGTTAATAATAATTATGGAAAGGTATAAAGACCAAACGCACTCGTTTTAGTTCGAAACATTTTTATCATTTTTATTGTATTGAATGAACGGCTTTTTGACAAATAAAATATTGTGTTGGGTACCTATATGGAAAATAGAAATAGTATAAGATAATAACTGTTTTAGTTAACAAATAGGAAACTTTAATTAAAAAGATTAGTGTTTGGATATTATGTATTTACATTTATCAATATCCTGTGATGTGAGTCATCCATATCACACCAATTTAAAAAAATTTATAACCGGAAGAAGTTGAGAATTATTGATTAAGGAAACTGAAGAGAAAATATTGGCATTGTTGGAAAAAAGTAAACGATGATAGACTAAACTTATAATATAAATTAATTTAACAGTGATGGGTATAGAGTTTCATTCTGGGAAGGCCCCCCCCCCCCCGGGTGTTTAACATCAGAGTTTGATAATGCGAAATGGTAATAAGGACGTTCTTTTTGTTGGATCGGAAACGAAATTATGTCTAAGAGAGATCTTTTTCCGCGGTAATGTAGTAGAATTGGCTTGTTTGTAATCGAAATGAGTGAGAGCAGCCTCAGCGAATCGATGACTGGTAAAATACAATCATCAAATAGGATCTATTATAGGTATACTATACTATTAATACTTAATTTTATGATATAAAGATATTTATAGAGGAAGTCTATTACACAAACATTTAAAGTGGATAATTCGGAATATCTTCTTAACGCGTTTATGGTGTATTTATTTATATTTATTATAGACCGCTGCACAGATTTTAGCCCTTAAAAACTCACTGAATTGTTTGAATACTTAATGCTCGCTGTAAAATGTATTAAAAAAGCTTTGCAGCTTTAGACAATGTGTATTGTCTGAGAATTGTATAATATATCAATAAAATCAATACATATATACCTAAACAAACGTATCTAACAAACGTACCAATCATTATCATACATAGATATAGGTTTGTCTATACGACTATACATAATCTATTAGAGTATTACGGTAAAATGTTACTCGCCGCCCGAGGGATTCGTAGGTATGTAGTTGTATATGTATGAAATCCAATTTCGTTTAGATATAGAGGCAATATAAATTTAGCTATATCTCATTGTATAAATAGTAATTTATTTTGAGTTATTGTATATAAGATATGCATTTATTGCAATTTAACAACCTATTTATAAAAAAATTAATATTAGAACATAAGCGTAAGTTTTTTTTTTATTACTATGATAACGCTATACGCCAAGAATAATATTTCGTTTGAATTTATCAAATACATAACGTGATGTACGCATGAAAAATTAATTAACTTTTTTAGTTTAAAGTAAATTTATTATTGAAATTGTTTGATTTAAATTTAAAATGCACAATATTTCAAGTATATTAAAAGTTGAATAAGTACTCGTCAGTTGAGATATTATCCCTCTTGGAGAAAGTAGATTTATTTTTGCACCAAATAAATTTAACTTATAAATAAAATCGGCAATAACATCATTGTTTTATTGTATTGCTATTTTGCTGTACGAATTTAAAATAATGTTAAAAATTGTTTACAGTAATTAATAATTAATTTTTTCATTCAAATATTAGTACATATACTGCAATACAATATTTATTATGTTATGAGTTTTAAACTTTTAAATAATTAGTATAAAACTAAATCAAAGTATTTTTAATGAATTTAATCATACATTTTAACTATTAATAATTTATGATCTAAGGTAGAGTTTTTATAAACATTAAAAGTATTATTTTTTAAAACTATATAAAAATATAAGATATATTTTTAACGACTATGCTATAGGTAATACAAGTGCTATTAACTGAATTTTAAGGAAATTTATTTTTGTTTTACGGAAAAGAAATCAACTTTTTTTAAATTTGGTAAAAAAAGATAATGTAAAAGATAATTTGTGCCAACAGGCAAAAACCTATGTGTCCCATAATAACTTATGGAAATAATGTATAGTCGTATAGTCGTAGGTGTAAATAATATAAAGATCGTTTCAATATCAAATAAAGATCATCGAGTTAAGTTGGCAGAATAACGATTAATGGAAATTTATAAATACTACAATATCAATGGTTCGATACAAAACAGATTTTTCAACTTAAAATAAGTACAAATACGTATTATAAATTTTCTTTTCACTAGTTCACAAAATATACCTTTCAAGATGAAAATTAAAAGCGATCATCGCGTATCGCTAACAACCACATGTGCACATTATAGACGTGCGTTTTTTTGAATTTAATTGTTTTGTATTTATACTACACTAGTCACGTCGTTGTTCCAGAACTGTAATTGTGTACACACACATGTGTTAAATGGCTTAATAATATAATATACATACGGTGTATATATTAATATATCTAATTTGCGCTACAGCCAGGGCCGTACGACAACGATAGGAGGAAAGAGGAGGTATAATAAAGATAGATCGCTTACACCAGCTGAACGATTGCCGTTTTAATTTCGATATTGTTCGACATCCGTTGACGGTATTATTATCGATCACGATATGGTCATCGACGTGATATTATATAAAACAGTAGAGGAGGGGAAATATTATATCCCCAAAAATTATAAAATATACAAGGACTTGTATAATTAAAATATGCACGAAAATATTTTCCATACCTTGTTATTTATATTATAAAAATCATCTTAAATAAGAACGACGTTAATTAAATCACTGACATTTGTCGGTTTGATCAACATAATTTAAAAGAGAAAATGGGCAAAAGATACCAAGTAAAAGAAATAATGTCTTAAAAATCAAAAATATACCTAAAAAGTAAAAAGGTAAATCTCAAAAAGCAACAATTACCAAAATATACATCATAAATATACAGGTCTGGGTTTGTTTTAACACGAAACAAGTTAGGTTGTTTCTAGCTAGAATTTCGATTGTTTAAAACTGGCGAGAACACATATTCAAATGCTTTATACAGAAGTCCTCAGTCCTATAATAATAATAAGGTGCTCGCCGTAGATCGATCATGAGCCCACGTGTTTAATAATTTATTACTTTGCTATATCGCATACATCTATAAGGTATTCCGAGACACCGAGTTATCGGTTGATGTATAATAAATTAATAACATATAAATAAATATATTTGGGAATTGTCAAACATGCACTGTTTAAGTGCCAACTTTAACCTAAACCATAATTTTCAAATTGCGGCCAATCGGTCAATCCTTGTACATTTTATATTGACAATTGCATGTGTGTGTCCATCGATTTAGTATTACAACATTATTACACGATGGTATGGATATGTGACGACGTAGGTAACTAATTCAGAAACAAACGTTAAACACATATTTTTAATTTTATATAGATAATTACATTACCTAAGGCATTAAAAATATAAATTATACTTCCAACTGTCGACTGATATCAGTTAATTTTTGTAAAGATCGGAACGAGTGCAATTCATGCATTCCCTTTTTCTGACCTTATTGAATTCAATAAAAATAAGGGTAATCCGATCTTACCCATGTAATATTGATTGATCACCACGTGTTTTTTGTTGAGATTTACCAATAATCTATACACCTTATTACTTTACGGACAAGTTGTGCACTCCGCCCTAGCTGTTATTTCGGTCATTGACACTGTATACTGTTTATGGCCTATATGATTATATTATTACGTATACAGCTCAATACCGTAGGGGGGAGGGTGCCCGTGGAGGTAAAAGTCTATCCGGTGGATATAGGTGTCGGCGGGGCTCGTGGGCGTTCAGGGGAGTGTCAACACTTTTTCTCCCAGTGAACTCGCGCGCTTTTCGGCGTAGTCGAGCAGCTGACCGGCGCACGCGACCTTACAATAATAATAATATATTATTACGACGATTTGCGAGCGGGCGGACAGACGAAGAGGGTCATGCTCGTCGTGTTTTTTAGTTTCGGCATTGCCATCATCACATTAATCGTGTAAATATTATTTATACACACACTGCTTTTGAACCGGCGGCCTTTGGTCGCGCTTGAAATCGTATTTATAGGGTACCGCGCTTATACCACGTGCGCTCACTCGGTCGAGTCAGTCGCTCAACCGCCGTCGCGCGGGGTGCCGAAAGCCGACCACGCGCCCTGTATGCACGCTCGCGCACGCGGCCGCCGGCTTTCGTCACACACACACACACTCACGTCACACACACACACACACACACACACACTCGTTCGGGCGCGCGTCCGTTTTCGTCGACGGCAAGTTATAATAAAATCGGGGGACGGACGTGTCCCCCTCCTCCGCTCTCGCCACCCCTTCCTCCGAGACTCAATCCCTGCCGCCGCAGACGACGACACGTCGCACGCACACGCCGGTCGCTCTGGCGTTACAGGCCGCCGCGAGCGTTTTACACGAGGGGACGCGCGCGCTGCGTACGCATCGCATCAGTAGCGTGCCCACTCGCCGGTACGACATATTATTATTATTAAAATAATATAGGTACGCGTGCACTCACCGCACCGCACCGAACTGCATTGCCACTGGAACGCATCGCACGCGCGCGCGCGCCTCTCACACGCTTGCACACGCACACTCGCACACCCCACACAAGCACGCGGCGTGCCGCGGAATAATGCCAAATGGCCAAATCGCCGGCTGCGACGCCGTCGTCGAACGCACCGCCGTCGCCGCTTTCACCGCCAATCGTCACCGTCGCCGCGGCGGCATCACACTGTACATCACCGTCAGCGGCGGCGGGGTCAGCGGCGCGTCAACGACAGCCAGAGTGGCCTGCCACCTCGCCAGCGGCGTCTCCATCGTCATGTGGCGACGGTTGCAGCACGAGCAGTGGCAGCGTCAGTGGAAGCGGTGGTGGCCGCGGCCAGTCGTACCACTACGATGGTGGTGCAGAAATTACGCTCAAGAGCATCGAACACACGCTGTTGCCGCTCGTCAAACAGGTACGTGCAGCTTAAAACATGTAATGGTATATTAAAATATGTATCTTCCATCCGTCCACGATATCGTGTGATACCGTGGCATTCGAATCATATCACTCCGTCCCCGCCACGGCCGGCCGGTGTAGTAACCGACCTCGCCACCGTGTTCCTATATTATATTTCGTTCCGCTGCGACGACCACGCCGCCGCAGTAGTTATGCACGCATGTATATTGTGTGTATATATATATATATGCGAGGGGTGGCTTACAGAGGTCCACGTGTAGAATCTGCAGTGTACACGATACCGTTTCGAATATAGCGGTAGCCGCGGCGGTATACGTAAAAGAACAGCTCCGGTTCTGAAACCAAAATAGAATGCCAGGTGTGACCCACATTACGCGTGCAGCGTTAGTCGTTACGACGGTGACGACGACGCCGACGATGATGAGAGGTAAAAATGTTTGCATTTAAGCCGCCTGACCTTTTTCGCGTACACTTGACCGGCTTCCGTTTGGCCGCGTATCACCACCGTTCGCACGCCGAAAACGACGACACCAAAGTGACAGAGACAGAGCGCGTGGAGGAGATATTCCAATCAGAGCTGTACGGCGGTGGTCGGGAAAAGCGATGCGTTTCGTCGGCGGAGCGTTTCCCGTCGGGTCCTATTCGGTTTGAGGTTAACCGTGTCATGGCGAAAAGATACGCCACCGCCGCCACCACCGCCGCCGGTGGCATGTACCGACGGTGACGACGGTGGCGTTGTCGGTGGCGGCGGCAGCGGCAGCGGTGGAGGTGACGGTGTTGGAGGAGACGGTGCAGGTCGGTGGTGTTGGCGGTGGTGGGTTTTTATTGATTGGCGGCGGCGGCGGGTCCGGCGTCGTCGTTCGCGCGCGTTGCCCGCACGCGCCAACGCCGAGCGCGCGCTCGCGCCCGCGCAATTATACTCGCGCGCACGCACAAACGCACCGGACGAGCAGCAGCCAGCACAAGCACCAGCAGCCAGCACAAGCACCAGCACCAGCAGATCGCCGCCGGACGCCGCCGACGCTGCCGTCGCTGCCGCAGCCGCCGCCGCCGCCGCTGCCGTCGCCCCCCCTCGAAACTTACACACACACACACACACACACTCTCACACATAAACACACACACTTACACATACACACTTACACACAACGGTAAAGATAAAATATTATTAATTTGATAAAATATAATAGGTATATTATATAATAATTATTTAAAATAAAAAAAAACAAAATACTAAATAACTACTGCTGTTTTTTCGTACGAGTAATTTTTGTCAAAAAAATTTTTAAAAAAATGATACATACAAATCGTGCGCGGTTACACCATACTTGTACAATACATTATTGTTATAATATATTACAATAATATTAAAATATATTATTGTTATTGTTCTCGTTGTTATATTATCACCATCATCATCGTTGTTATTATTATTATTATTACTACTATTATTATTGTTATACTATAATACCGTCGTCGTAAGTTTCGTATCGTATCCAACGGGTCTTACGTGTCGTCGCTGTCGTCGTCAAGATCTTCCCCCTGCTTTCCTGTACGGGTATACCTACGCCCGCGGCCACGTCTCCTCGGACCTGCTGCAGTGCGAGCCCTGCTGTGCGCCACGCGCGCGGGCGGAATCGAAAGTGCCGAACACCCGGCACACACCCAGCACACGCCGACCGACGGACACGCCGCGACATGGCTCTTCTGCTCGGCGACCACTGCGGCAGACAGCAGGTAAGCCGCCGTCGCAGCCGTCTCGCATTATGTACCACGCGGTCATATCGCAAGTCACAGAAGCCGGTGAACAGTATGTCCGGTGTCCCACACTATGGTTAACCCGCGGTTTTTGTTTTTTTTTTGGGGGGGGGGGGGATATGGTTTTGGGCGGGTGGCCACTGTTCTGGAGACTGCGATCCGGATGAGATTGCGGCTCGGGCGGGACCGGGTATAGAAAGCTCTCCGGATAGCGCGTCGATAGTCGGCGACGGACAGAGCCAATGGCCAAGCCAAATACTCCGCTCGCCCGCACCGCGTCCGAGCCGCGTCTCGACGGCTTTAACTCTAATATTGACGTGCACGTACACACCGATGTGTTTTCCGGCTACTTCTCGTACCGATACCAATATTGGAGGGGAGGGGGGCAAAAAACAAATCCTAGTTGTAAAAAATGTCGAGATATTAAAAACCGATAAAGTATTGCATAAGTACTTGTGTGGCGTTTGAATGAGTATTTTTAATATTCGTGACAGCGAAATATCAAGGTTCCAGTTATCGAGATTTCGTCTGTAATATATATAATTATTATATACTCATGTCAGAACACCATAATATTGTGCACTGTATTATATTTTATATTATTGTTCTCAGTGGCGTTAACATTTTTGGTGTTGACCCTTTTTTATGTTATATTTGATATTGAATACTCCTCTTTTGTCCCCCCAAACGTCCTCAATTATCTGATAAAAAAAATGTATGTAAAAAGAATTATTGAATTTTTTTTAAATGTTTTTAGCAAAAAATTGATGATCAAAAAGCCAGATTTAACCTAATCATGTTAATAATAATTGGCATGTTGTTATAATAACCGTGATGCTAATTGAGTTATTGTTTACAGTTTATTAACTTGGATTTTTTTAAATAAATACAGCGTAGGTCCTACAAAGTTGAATATTTTTTTGTGATACAAAGCAATACTTTTGCAGCACTTTTAAATGTTTTGGTTTTTAGGTAAAATTGTTATGGATCAGCTTAGGGAAACTGATGTAGGTACCAATCCCTCTCCCTCGAGCAAAAATTATATTAAGGTGGTCCTAGTGGTTTTTTTTTGGTTACTGAGATTTTTGAATTTTTAAATGATTGCGGTTAGGTTCCCTCTTATTATTATAAAAATATTTGTAGAACGGTACAGATAAGATATTTATGTAATCATAACAATAATTATATTAAATATATTATAATATATAATAATATGTATTGGAAATTCGTTATCAATCGGATGGCGAATCAATTTTTATCGATTATACCGGCAAAAGGATATTCAATTGTGCCCCTCAGAACCTTAGTACGAGTTTTTTTCTTTAAATGACGAAAGATTGTAGGCGGGTTCGTTTCATTTATACATTTCTGCGGGTACGGGGCACGGGCCACACAATGAATGTCGGAATGAAAACATCATTCATCAAAAATTTCAACATTTCCATTTACTATCAGTCGGAGAACTAATAGCGTTGTTTGAAAAGTTTTTGTTCCTATATACTGTTCAGTGTTCGGCCATCTGGGCTAATGTGGTGAGTCGACCTAGAAAAGTTTTCCACAGGGTTACTGACTTTTTAATACTGACCAAACACGATGTTGCTATGAAAAAATAAGGCGAAAAAAGTGTAGTTCGATATAAATTAAATATTATCAATATACTTCTTAAGATGGTATTAATTCCTAACCTAAGATGCGTTTCTACTTGTGGCTTTTGGAAAATTGTGATGAATACACTCATTAAACTGTGTTTGTAGAAAATTTAGTAAACAATTTTATATTTTTCAGTTATTCTTTTGGCTAAGTAAAACACAAAGACTAATATTGTCATATATTTTCTGGATTTTCATCAAAACTAAATAAATACAACTAAGGTGATTTTATATTATCGTTATACGTTTATTTTGAACGCCTGTGAGTAAAAGTACTTCATAAAATATGAATACTACATATTATATTTTATTGGCTTATGATTTTAAACGTTACGAAAATCGTAAGTATTCAGTGCATTTTAAGCTTATTTATCAATTTCGAATAGTTATTTTTTTCTTTATCTTTCTTCTAAGATTTTTAATGATGTCGGACATTTGACGACAAAGTTAGTCAACTTGGTTTGATTAATCGTTTTCAGTTTGTATTTATATAGGGGTGAACGTGGTATGCGTAGACCTCCGGTCATTTTATGTCCAGCTGTGTGACGTTCGACCTACGCTCATAATGTGTTAAAACGTTCGTTTGATCGGAAAGACTTCTGCACTGCAGCGTACGGCCAACGGGTTTAACGCCAAACATTTAAACGAGACCACCAAGGAAATAGGTTTGGTTAGCCAGACAGAGACTGCAGTTGGAGTTGAATAAACTCGACAATAATATTTTATAATGTGGAGTCGAACATTTTTCAGTGAAAGAGCACTTGATAGACATATAAAGTTGTCCATCACTGAAAAATGTTCCGCTCCATATTATAAAATATTTCTGCAAGGTATTTTTAACTGCAACAGTCTCTGTCTGCGTTTCGTACTGAGTTTAGTTATATCTACATCAAAGTTGTATACGATTAAATTGGCTTTTCGCGGAAACCGCTCAAGTTCACGTGAAATACGGCCAACTTTTGTGTACATAGGCGAACACCCTCACACCCACCCCCGATCGCCATTTTAGAGACACATTAGACTCTAATGATTAGAGGTCGGCAGGTAGGCATGTATCTATATAATATTGTATGTATGTAGGCGTATATAATCAATTGCGTATACGCGTAACATTTCATTTTTGCACAATAACGATTTTTCTTCCTTTGATTAAGTAAACAAAACCTGCCGAAAAAAAGGAAAAGAAGAAATTCACTTATTGTAATATCGCCTAAGGGGACGGGTCATTTAACTCGGAATTTACTTGATTACACACTCGGTGTTCGGTGTACCTACCTGCCTATACACGCCGCGTGTGTGCTGCAAATACGCTAAAACAATATTACTGTGTGTGCTTTTGTTTACTTCTGCCGTGTTAATTTTTACGCGTGTTTAATGTCTCGTGCATTTCATAAATCGTATTCGCATGCAATGTAGTAAACGTAAAACGCCTTTTCGCAATGACGTAAAATACGTTCTAGAATATTATATTATATATTATTATTAGACATTAGGTATAGGTATATACGATTATTGGTCCCCGAAATCGGTCATATTGCATGGCCGGAGGGGCTCAATGTTAATGAAAATACTATAAAGCGGTGCTGAG